TCCGTCAACTTTCCTGGGCATCTTGGTATTTCCCCGTCTCGTAAGCCTCAATCAGACCTCCAATCTCCACACAGAGACACAGTTCTGACCCAGCTTAACAGGAATGACTTCTTGTCAGTGTTTAAAGGTGTCCTGTCCAAGTCTGCGGATATGTATAATCCCAACTTTACTCAGTCTCTTACTCTATTCTTCTATGTGACAATTGTGGCTTAGTTTGATCTGTTTTAATAACAAAATGTTCACCAAAGTTTTATATTCATTTAAGTGTTACTATGATGTACTCATGAGGTTTTTTTTATTAATGAAATGTTTTAAAATGCTCATATCTTCATATCATGTGAAAAAAATATCTGCATTGCCTAACCTACCGAAGTGTAACTTTGCAATCCTTCAAAAAGAGTTTTAATAAATCTCAGGGACTTTGCCTCTAAGTGGAAAAATAAACAATGCTTTGCTAAGCTATGCCATGCTATGCTAAGTTAAGCTAAGCTAGGGTATGCTATGCTTGTTTTTAAACTCTTATCCTCCCATGCATTCTGCTTGGATGAGCCAAAACACAAATTTAAAACACATTATATCTATGACTGGACGTTTACATACATAAACCAAAAAGTCCCGCCTCCTCTGACAGAGTGCCTTGTATATTACCAAGTATAAAGCATTCCTGAGCATGAGAACTGTTAGGCTACAATCACCTTCAAGCTTCCCACAGTCATGGCCAAGGAACCCTTGAGTATTTTCTTTAGGTCTTTCCAAGTTTAAAATGTGAATGCTCCTTAATAAGGGTATGCAATTAGATTGCACACTACAAGGTTAACAGCTAACCCTAACAGTCAGAGTCTGGTCCATTCAATCAAAACTGGCTTTTTTCCACGTTGTCAAGATAGTGGAGACATGTTTTTATAAAACAATAATTTTTTTTCAGAGTTCTTTTAATGAACCAGCTCTCTGCACCAAAATCCCCACATTCAAGGGCTCGGTGACCCCAGGTTTCTTCCAAAACCCTATAAACATGCATTTTAATTATTGACAGTGCAGGCTGCCTCACAGTAAGAAGATTCTAGGTCAGGGATTCTGGGCCAGGTTACCAGCAGGTACCAGGTACCTACTACCTACCTATTCTTACAATTTCTAATAGTAGGTTAATTAAAACTACAATACATGATGTATTAAGCAGCTTAGCCTTTAAGAATCTTTTCCTTTTAGCCGTTGCCAAACATTTGATGATGTTTATGCTTTAATAATGAAGTGCTGACAGTTTCCCATTTCTCTCTATTGCAACTCCTCCATTTAACTGCTTTTACGAAGCTTCAAGTGTTACTACTTAAATTTTGAACTAACATTTTTTAACAGCAGCTAAACAAGTAGGTTTAAAAAGTACGTTCAGCATCCAGCCAGACATCAATGTCTTTTCATTTTGACCAAGTACAAAATCATAGCAAACCTGAAACTTAGTGACAGCTATTTGAATAATTTATTCAGTTTTTCTAAATAAAATTACATTACAATAAGGTACCTGAAGTATTTTACTGTGATCAGGAAATATGTAAAGGTTCCCTGCACACAACACCGTGTTCTGATATTACTACAGGGACATACAAAGCCAATAGGCAACAGATGTCCGACTGCTTTGGTGATAAATTGTAGTAAATCCATCACCTGAGATTGAGTAAGAATTTGTCTGCATTTTTTTTCTAGTTGCTGTAATGCGTCTAAAACCCATTTATTATAAGGATTACATATCTATTACAAGGTTGGCAAGATAGATGAAAGCTGAACATATATCACTTGTGGTTGTAAAATGCCTGCAGGTGGTGTACATGGGCCCCGGGGCGCAAGGAAACTGAAAAGAATGATATTCTAAAAGAAGAGCTTGACATGCATTTAGCTAGTCAGTGTATTCCTTAAATATGCTGATGCAGCATAATCGAAAACTGGATGAATTCACCCATCTTTTTTCTTTGCTGTTGTTTTTTTGAGTGTGTGTGCCAGGAAGGATATTCTGTTATGTATTTGTATCTAGATATGGACACATAAATACATATTTATATTTAATGATTTATGACTGCTCTTCTTTTTAAACGCTGATAAAAACTAGTAATCCTACTTGCATGGTACTTTAAATTTGAAAATTCCTCCGTATATGTTTCCATTTTTCTGCATTAATTTTCATGCAATTGAAACATATCTACTGGGTCTTTTATAAAATTTTGACTTTGGGCATATTTTAATGTTTTCTGCACACCTTCTCAAAGTATGCAGTTTACTTTTGTTGATTACCAAATGACCAAAGTGGTAACAATTGTGGTTCTGACACGTATATTCTCAGGCAATGCTCTATTTTCCAGAGAAGCAATGCTTTTTTTGGTTTGCAGCAAACCCACATGTTCACTTTACAAAAGATTTCAAGGACAATCTGCAAAGTAAATCTTAGAAAAGTTTCACGATTCTCACACTTCCTCTGTAAGTTCTTGACAAGTATACATACATACATATGAGTGTCTACATGTCAGGTCAGGTGTCAGGTTAGCCTGGGGTCATTTGCCACGTCAGTTAATCTCCTCGGCTGTCTCAGGAGTATTCATTCTCAGACAAACAAAAACAAATTGAATATCTGACTATTTACAGGTCTTATTAACCTGATACAATACAGCCAATCTTTTCAAAATCAGGACAACCAATAGGTTATTTTCATAAGCATTTCTGGTAGAAAAAGAGTATTGATGAGTTAATGACTACAGGCATGTGGCCCACCCATGATGCAACCAGGATTGGGCTTTGATTACAAGGAATGCAGTGGGTATTTGACACTAGCATTAATCACAGATAGACAGGTTTGACATAAGGGCTGAGACCCTGAAGACCTTCTGTTACTGTTCACAAAAAGAAACTGACAAATAGTATTTAAAATTGATGTTGCAGTTTTTTAACCCATAACATGGGAAAAAACAGACAGGCATTCATGAAAAGGTAAGTAGGTTTTAATAGCATTCTAACCTTATGCAAGACACACAATAATCAACAATGGCTATTTGCAACTTTATTTAGGTTTACACTAGGGCTGCCACAAACGATTAGTTTGATAGTCGACTAGTCACCGATTATTTTTGCGATTAGTCGACTAATCAGATCATGCATCCACTGGACGTACAGCGTACAGCTTATTGCACCAGCATGCATCTGCTCTGATATAACTATCATTAGCTTAAAGCTTTAAGTGTTTAAGGTCTGTGCTAACTAAAAATAAAGACAAGATGATAGTTTATTAAATTTTAATTAAATTTGCAGATTGTTTCGGTGAAGTTTAATAAACTCCTTGCTATCTAAAATATAACAGGACACTGGAGTATATTCTCAAGCATTTCACACTTCTGATAATCAGCTGTCTGCTTGATGTTTATTCAGCTGTGTAAAAACTATAACTTTAATCTCAGCCAAACCGATTTACTCAGGAACAAATAAAATACTAAAAAAAGCCAAACAATAACATTAAGTTATCTAAGTGACTTATATTACATGTTTAACCTGAGTAGCGAAAGACGGCGGTGGGTTTGAAAACGATTTGCTGGGACTCCGCTGTTCTCACGGGCTCTAGTGAGCCTTGCCCCCGGCTAGCTATCGAGCTTTTGAAAATATGTGGTGTCTTGACAAACTGAGCAGATATTTGAGGTTTACACAGCTACATTCTCGCCTGAAAATATGTTAAACGTTTATTTTGTGACCCAGAAATAATAATAAGAGTAATATTAAAACTACCTAGCTGCCACCATTGTTGGAAACTGAGCAGGGCTGCGCTATGAATTCTGGGACACAGCTTCTTCTTCTTCTTCGGGGTTTAACGGCAGCTGGCATCCTTGTACATGCAGTGCTGCCATCTTCTGTTTCAGTCCGTTATTACACTCTTAAATCCTACTACTTACTGCGTCTTTTGTGATCTTACAAAGCTTCAAACGACGCGTCGACTATTAAATCAGTCGTCAACGATTTTGATAGTCGACGTAATCGTGACTAGTCGACTAATCGTGGCAGCCCTAGTTTACACTGCATGCATCAGCTCACCTTTACAGCTAGCAAATGATGCTTTACATGTATACCGAGTGTATTTTACAGTCAATCAAAAATATTTGCATCAGGAAATAGAAAAAAATTCTAATACAAATTCCTCAGGCATCCCAATCTAAACATTATCTCATGCATCATGACGTCTGGGCACGAAAGTCTGGAAATGTGCCACGAAAGCATATCAGACTGTTTGGCCACTGGGCAGAGAGCAACGTTACAATCCCCCGGCCAAATCCTGTGATATCATGTCATAAATGCAAATCTATGAGGACATCGGCGATTAAATGCAAACTTGTATTTCAAATGTAGAACTGGTCACTGCCTTGCTAGTGTGCCACTACTTCCTGCACTCACTGAACGATATGTTACAGAAACACACAGCCTTCCCAAATTAATGATCAAAGAGTTTCTTTGTTTTTTATGGTAATTACTTTTTTAAGTTTCGTGGTTCTTTTGCAAGACATGCCAACAAACAAACCTTAATCAAGTTCCCACACGTCAGACAACGCACGCACACAACATCGTGCTTTAACACAGTATGAACGCCTATAATGGAGAAAGGCATCCTTCCTTCTACCTGTAGGTGTCTGCAGGGATTCACTCTGCTAGGAAAAATGCCCAATTCTTCATCTTAGTAATTCTGAGAAACCTACTCTTACTAATATTATTAGACCAAAAGAAGTCATCATCCCACAAAAATCTGACCAATCGTCGTCTATGAAAATAACTGAGTCAGACCTAGAGGGAGTGAAAGAAAACACACAAAAGTAGCAAAGTACAAAAACAATGAGGCCATGGTCATTTTCCCTTCTAGTTTCACTGTGTCTCATACCGTCATTGCATATCTGCACAGAAAGCCCCTCTAGCCGTCTGCAAACTTTGAACAGGAACAACACACAAAAACAAGATTCACACACACACTTGCACATGCCTCTTACCTCCCAACAGGCAGACTGCAGTGGACAGCTGAACCATACTCTTTGGTTTAAGTCCTCTCCTCACTCCACAGGGCTTTGAACTCAACACAGTGAGTATGTAAAAATACACAGACTGGACGGGCCACACACACACTGCAGTAACACTGTGGTCTGAAACTCTTGTGCCTTCAGTGGGACGCACTCCCAGCTTTAGGTCCTCATTGTACTGTTGATCATCCAGATCCTTTAAATGGCTGCTGAAACAATCTGAAACAGGAAACAAAAAGCAGTCGAGCATTAGACATTAAGATTTAAAACCAAAATTACTAAATGTTTTCACATGTTTATCTGTAGTCATAAAAAGGTTTGAACGAACGGCTTTGGTTCCTACATGTAGCTTCAGTTATCTTTATGTTTCATTCATAATGTTACTCTTTTATTCCACAATGTCACATTTTATTTCCTGATTTCCCTTTTTACTTCACACACACCTCGTATAACCAGAAAGCAAGTTCAACAGCTGCTTCTTGGCTTAGCTTGGTGACACCTGACATCTAGTGCAACAAGAAAATTAGCTGCTGCTCTAAACAAACAGTACACATACACATGACCTAATATCTTATATTTACTTAGCCTAGCAAAGGCTGCACATAATATCCAGCTAGCTAAACAAGTTTATGATAAAGAGACAGTGCAAACAGCAGTAGCAACAATTGGTTTTAAGGAGCGACGAGGTGAAAATGTTAAAAAGAAATCTCTATAATCAGCCAATTAATCACACTGTAACACTGCACACAAGAGCTCTGAACCTACAAGAAAACTGACACTGAGTAGATCTGTTTTCCCACAAGACAATGATCCCAGACAAGCCAATCAAAGCAGTTCAGTCAGAGGTCCCAACCTCAGTCCAGTATCTTACTTCCAAGAAGAATCATAAAAAACAAGTGTCTCTGCAGGGAAAGCTTTTTTAGAGCAATGACAGGTTGAACTTTAAAAATAACCAAGAGTGCCCAAAACATTTGCTTTGTTCAAAGCTATATATTAAATACTGGGGTGTGTTCCAGGGCAAATGAAAGATCTGACCAACATAACTGGGAAGTTGTTTCATAGCATCTCATGGCCATCCATTCAAAAGATATTGAGATATTTTAGTCTAGACCAAAGTCCTGGACCTCACCAAGTGACTTTTACTGCCAGTTGTAAAGCTTTCCTAGCATGGCTATTTAGCCAAATGCTTGCACTGGGTTTAGGAGCTTTAAAAGAATCCAACATAATGAAGTCAGAAAGTAGTGTTTTTGTGCTGCGTCACCCCCGATCATCTCACAATGTGAAAGTTAAGCTTCTTGTAGAGATTCCAAAACTCCTGTGCGGCAAGGATGACTAACCCACACGACCAGCTGCTCTGTGTTTGTGGTACTTAGTCAAGTTGTTGAAAATGGAACCAAATGTAATGTCTGGGTAGATATTGCTTAACATGGTGATTCTCAAATGTTTGTCAAAGTTGTGTATATATATATAAAGTTATGACTGTGTTTTTACATTTCTATTTGAGTCCTTTGCATAAACTAATTTACAAACACACAGGCAAAATCTATGAGTTCAAAAAAAGAAATTAATTAATTAAACTGTCAAAGCAAAGCCTGCTCATGTGCTCAACGGGCCTCAGCCAAAATGTATCAAGTGGCAGGAAAACCTGGCTAACACCATCAATTTGCCATCAGGCAAGCAGAAATGGCCCTTAAACATCATACATCCATTTTGAGAGAGATTTCCAGAGAACACAGTGTCTCAACAAGAGCTCTAAACCCGTTTGTTCTGATAAAATGATGGAGGGAAATTATATGATAAGTGGAGTTTGTTTCAAAGCAGATAAAAGCTCACACTATACCAGATACTCTCTTGCAAAAACCAAATTACAGCCATCATTCTAGGTCCAAATGCTCATTATAAGGCTTTCTGTGACAATAATGAAGATTTTTTTTCAATTTTCTTCAAACAGACGAGTGTGCTGCATAATTTTTGTTTGCCCTTTGGTGTGCTTTAAAGTAATAATTTTCAGAAACATTCAGTTTCTTATACAACCTAACACAATGTCAACCAAACTCAAGCTAAAGTTTACACACACTCACACATTTACAAAAAATACACTTTCGATTTCTTACAGTACTTTGTACACACATCTGCTTCATACTGCACTTGGACAGAGGTGAACTTCATTTCAGACCACTCACAAAGCGGCACCAGCACCTATGCTGTTATTAAAACCTCAGAAATACTCAGAAAATGAGCACAAACTGCAAACAGCCATCATCAATGAAGACCAATCTTCTCATTAGCTGTTCCAATGAAAGACAAGGTTTTTCAAGAACTCCTGCTGCAATAGCAAATGAGCATGTCTGATATATTATATTAAATTCAGTATATAAATAACAGGGCTGGTGCCAGATGCCAGTTTGACACACCGGTTGAGCAAGTGCCGTTTTTGCTACAGCTCCAATGTAGTGACTCAGATTTAAGTCCCACCTGCCTCCCATTGCTGCTTTGCTTTCGTTGACAGGAAAAAAATATATATCAGAAAATTAGAAACATTTCAGGCCAAGTTTGGTAAGCCTCTATCCAATATCTTTTTCTGTGGCTAAACACACAGCTTCTAATTTGTAAAATCACTAAAATTTTCTCAGTATACTTTAGCGTGTCTATTTGACACCAGAGAAAGGCATTATTATTATGCGGGACTTATACATAGTTTGAGTGTCTTTTTCTAATCCTCTCTCACCTTCCTCCTCATCCTTATCTTTCGCAGCCTGATGATAAAACTTTTGTTATATCCATTGCAGCATTCCTCAGTCTCACATCACACCTCAGTGACTTCACTGTTGGTAAAATATGTCACCAGCATTTAGAGGATTGTGACATTGAGCCCATCCGTTGCTTCAAATATCAACAAATGACTTCAACCAACCGCTGGAAAAATAGTCAGTGCGTGGCACAAAAGATAAGTCACCTTTTACTCACACACCTCTCCTGTTTGTTGCAGTGTTGAAATGTATCTGACGCAGATGTTTGTGCAGTTTAGCTGCAGGCTACTTGTGCTTTGAGGGCCCAAGCTCCCCTCTGAGATCGATAAGGCTCCTCTATCCTTCACAATCTAGGCTGTGGCAACTGCTGCAAGGTTTTGAGATGTCGCCACTGATTGTATAACTCAGGCTTGCAAAACTGTCAATACGCCCATACTGTCACACTTGCATGTAAGATTTTCTTTAAAAAAAAAAAAGACTAAGAACAGAAGAGAAAGAAAAAAAAAAGCAGCTCTTAGCATTAAATATCCTCCGCACCTAACGAAACCGAAAGTAATGCCGGACCGCTCAAGGCACAGCTGCACACACGAGCACATGCAGGAACACCCACAGAGAGACAGAGACAGGGAGAGACAGTAAAACAATCACACCTTTATGTCCAAAAATGAAATCTCAAGAGATTAAAATCTGCCTCCAAGACCACGCAAATGGCACTTTTCTCTCTGTGAGTGCGCTCGTTGGCATGACCATTAATAGCCCTTAAAACCCTACAACAGCCACACACCTAAGTATTTAACTCTAAATGCAAATCAAAACCAATTTTACATTTTAATCTTAAAATAAAGTTTCAGTCCTCAGAGATGAAAATCTGCCAGAAAGTCAGCGTTTTCACTTTTCACAAATGACCTCACTCCCAGACTATCAATTTGGTCCTCACCACGTAGGCTACAATATTACGCAGGTACACACATACCTCCAAAGTCCCTTTGCCTCGCACTCCCAGGGTGAGAAATCCTTTTCAAATGCGACGGTTGTAGTGAGCCTTTGTTAAATGCGAAGAAAAGCTGAACGATAGAAATCCGGTCTTAATCTTGTCAGTGAAGGAAGTCCACTACTGGATTTGTCCATCCACGGAGTCCTGGTGCGCTGTCTCAGTGTGCCGCCAAGTGCGCCACAGGCTGCCGTTCCTTCGGTCAATTCCAGTCACCACATAAATAGCTGCCAAACCTTCAAAATAAAAGCACGCCATCCGGCATAGACCCTCCCTTGAAACGAAAAAGAGTCTATACGGACATTTTAATCATTTCAGTGGCTATAAAACTGACAACTGAGCGAAAAAAATACTGAGCAAAATATGACTCATATTTGTTTATGACAAGACTGAAGGTTTGCCACCTCATCCAAGAAACACAGACTATTCTCCTTATTGAAACTGATATAGCATCACTGTATTAGAAGGTTTATTTATGTAACAATTACCTTACTTGTATTTTAACAATTTTGACACCCCATCATTAACTTTAATCTTCATACCTCCAGTAACTGATTCATTTAATAAAATTAATAATACAATTAATATTTATTAAATATGAATTTTACTATCAGATTTTACACAGTTTTGTTTCCACACAGCCTGATCCATTCTGCTGCTAAACCTGTGAATTGATGTTACACTGGAGAGAGATTGATATATCGTTAGCTATTTGCACATATAATGCTATCGGCATTCATAACAGCCAACTAATGAACATTTAAAAGAAAGACGAGAGAAACACCCTTCAACAGCGATATGAGTGTTGATTTTTGCATAACTTGTCCACCAGAGGGCACTTTATGAGTTCCATGTTGGCAATATTTGCTGGGAACAAACCAGCTGATCCAAACAGGTTACATGAGTAATGACGACTTCAACTCAGTTTTATTTAAATAGCATCAAATCCCAACAACAGCTGCCTAAAGGTGCTTTGTATTGAAAGCTAAAGACCCTACAATAACATACCCTAAAATTGATTTGAGACAAAAACTGCATTCTTATATTAACTTAAAAATGTTCATAAAGAACTACACATAAAAAGCATGTTTTGTATGTCTGGAAGAAAAATAAAGCAATAAATCGGCTGACATATCAGATTTTTATATCACCAAGTATTGGTATAGGTTTAAAATTGTGTATTTTTAATGAAAGCCAACTTCCTTTTAAATGAGTCCTTTAATTCTTCCTTAGCAACATAGAGGGACACTAAGTGAGAAACATAGTTTGGAAGTTTCAGCCGGAATTGCCGGTGGCTTTCCCACTCTGGCTTGACACATGAAAAGAGAAAACAGATGATACCTGGACTCGTGCTAATTTTCCACTGGTCTGCAGTGAATATGTTTTCATTCACCTTCTTCACTGCTCTTACAGCTCCGTTCACAAACTGTTCCTCAGCTTTTCCAAGGTTGTCTGGTGCACTCACCTTTGTGAACTAAAGTCCTGCTGGGAAGACAAACACTGAAATGCAATCAGAGGTGAACCAGACTTGTTATGTGGCACAATAAATAATGTCTGCTCAGGTTTTTAAAGACCAACTTGTATTAGAAGACTGGAGATCTCAAAGACTTTGACTTTAAGATTCAAATTACCCATATTTATCTCTATTCTTTTTTGAGGGCACATTAATTAATAAACAGTCTGCTATTCATAACTGCTTATCTTGAGACTCTGTGGAGGGTAAAGCGGCTGCCTGAGCTTGCACGATGTGGTATATTTCACTTTAGATGGGAGCCAAATCATACCAAAACACTCAGGACCAAATCCTCACCACAACCACATGTCTCTCTCCAGAATGGCTGCTGAGCTCAGATGGGAAAAGCCCACGGGAGTGCAGGACATAGCCACGGACATTGTTTTTGAGGTAATATTTCCATTAGGTCATATGAGATCACATTTGCCAGAGTTTTCTAACCATTACCAAACCAAGATTAGGCACTCATCAAAAAATGGAAATGGTCAAGAAAAAGAACCGACCAATAAGTCATAATTTAGAAAATTTAAAAGACTTGCTGTTTGGTTCACAGAGTTTGACTCAACAAAATGATTTCTCACACCATAGCAAACATTCAGAAAGTACCGTAAATTCATTTATTTTCATTTACAGTATAGACTGTAAGCATCTCTTATAACCAGTGTCTCACAGTAAGTTGTGATTTCTTCTGTTCTGTATGAAATAATGAGAGTGCAATGTTAATCCCTGCAATTACTGTCATCAAAACATTCATAGTTTACATCAGAAAATACATAGAGAGTGCATTGTGCAGCATTTTGGCCGCCAGCAAACTATAACACCCTGGGAGCACTTGTCATTCTGATGGCACTGTTTCAATCGTTGCCTTAAATATTTACTTTTGAGAGATAAATCCAGAGTAAGTTATGATCAATACATTTTGCAGCGCTGTTTAAATGAGTTATGTTCAGGACTAGCACCTCTGTTTTGGAAATGCTACAGACAAGTCAGGAAACAGATTACACAGAGAGAGAACAGAAATACATGTTTGGTAATTGATAAGGTGCATTCAAAAATGATAAATTAGGAGAAAGTGTTGGTCAAAGATTAAACAAATGTAAGGCAGAAAGAGTAGAAAATGTAAAAATCACCTTTTTATCACTAGCAATCCGAGCATTTATGTTCAGGAAAAGTCAGGACAGTGGCCAGATTTATTAATTTCCCACATGCACTTCCAATATGTTCCTGCTAAATTATGGTAAGTTTCTTATTTATTTATGTTCAGGCACACATTTAATGTAATGTTGTGACTTAGATGTTGTTTCATTGACACACAAAAGTGGATAAATACCTAATGAGGTGCTTATTATTTGTTGTACGACTTCATTAGACTGTAACAACAGCACATTAAAATATTAATTCTTTATGAATTTTAAATCTTTGCTAAAAGGCTCCGTGTTCCAGAATAAATACCAGAAACATGATGTGTCTGACTTTAGTGAAAGTGCCGAAGCTATTCAAGGTCAAATATTAAACGATACACCTAGCCTCAAGACAAGATGAGTCACATGATTTGCATTCTCATGATCTGAGCATTCAGATGATGCCATCAGGCCCAGTGAATGAGGAGATTACCTTGACATAAATGAAAGTGGTACTGAGAGTACAATTTGATGATGAAGTCTTATTCATTCGATGCTAGCACAGCACTTATTGTTGGAGCTTTTTTTTTTTACTTAAAAATGTGCTGCGTAACAGCTTTCTGTTAAATAAAGCATCAAATGCAACATCAAAAAACAAAACAAAAAAAAAACAGAAAATAAAAACATCAAAAAGTACAACCATAGAAATGCTTCCCCTTTGCCAAAAACAGTGACTCAGCTTTGGTAGAAGTGCTTGGTTGCCACCAGTAAAGAAGTCTGTGGTTGTACTCGGAATTGTTATTGTGTAGAGTTCTGCATTTCTATTGTTCACTGTTGCCTAAATGCCAACTCAACTGAAGATTGGTTAACAATAATTTTAAGGTCTGCAAATGTAAAAGTGAAATATTCCCCACTTGTAGCGTGAGACTTTAAACCATGCCAATAAAACAGACTGGGGAGTCTACAGGTATGGACACAATGCAGAGAAGTCTCTCCATCTCTCACTTCTTCCTCCTCTCTCCTCCACATCTCAGTGATACCGAGAAAGGCTGAGAAGTCCAACTCATAACACTTTGGTCAAGAGGTCATTTGTTTATTCTGGGCCAGTGAAAAGCGTAACCAGCAGCATTTTCATTCCTCGCATTGGAGTGAGGACAGAGGATAACCAGTGGTGTTTTGTTTTTACTGGATTTTAACTCATAGAGAAGAAATGTCTCCGTGCACAACGTAAGCCATGCACAACATTTGTAATCACCATTTATGGAAAATGGATTTGTGTCAAATTTCAGAAATCCAGAGTTTTATGTTTGGCTGATTATCTTTTCCCATTCCGGTTTTATGTTTTGCACAAACGCTGCATATTTATGACTCGTAAACGCCATAAACTTAGATAAGCAGTTCCAGCACAAGCTACAAGCTCCAAGAATGCATTTTCAAAAATAACAATTTCTTTAAAAATCATTGGTGGTGAAGTACAGAACAACACAAACATATTTAAATTCATGTAAGTTTCCACTTCGCATTAGTATCCCACAAGAAAAATGATGGACTTTCATTATTAATAATGCAACTGAATTCTGTCTTTTGTTGCGCTTCTGTTGTTTGTTAAATTTCAAACATCTGGTGTGTAGTAGAGACCTAGCATTAAAAATGTGCATACGGCAATCTGAGTTACAAAGCTGATGTCACCTGAGTAATTCACAGGTAAAAAGGCTAAATTATAAAATTCTCTCAAAGTAATCAGCTACTTGCAGACACCAAATGCCTTCTAAAGACGGCTAAGTGTTGGCAGTAGGACTATGAAGCAATAAGCTGAAATGTTAATTCATCCTCTTTACACCTGGTTAGTCTCTCATATAATCATGCAGCAATATAATGCACAGAATCCACATATCCATTGCTATTAGTTAATATCATTCAGACTTTAAGTGGGCATTAAGATTAATTTAATGCAAAAGTGTAGTAAAAGGGCATAAATAAAACAGGCCTGATGTGTTTGTCTAAACTTTTAGCTAAGGAATATTGCTTGCATTCTTTAGCGTGATGTATAGATAGAGGAATGACACACAGTTATGACACTTAGCTGAGTTGAAAGTTATAGGTCTGGTCGCAGATTTGTTGCCAAGGTGGTACACTTGGTTACATGTTGGTGATAACTACTGGGCTCTTCTACGTTGGATTTAAAATGATCAAATGGTCATAATGTATGCAGTTCATTTCTCATTTGACATTTCATGCTTCAGAAATTGACACTGAAGGGTTTGAAGCTAACCACATAAACCAAAGAGTGAAACTAAAAATATACAAAGGAACAGCAATGGTTCCAAAGTGCAGTGTCAGTTTTATTGAACTGAGATAAAATCAAATATACATTTTAAAACAGTTGAACTACGTACTGATCTCAGATTCTCTGTTGGTGAGAGTTTCAGGTGTCATATGCTACATTTGCTATTAATGGACAATATTAGAATGTGCCCAGAAATTTTTTTAAAATTCCCACTTAATTTTAAATAAATAAAGAATGAAAGCACCAACAGTAAAAATGAAAAATAA